TTGGAAGTCTCCGGAACATTCTGTTTAGGGTTATGCCAATACAAGACCTTAGCTCCGAAAGGAACAATCAATCCCGCAAAGGACTCCCCAAAGCGTGCCTCCCATGGGATTTCACCAGTATCCACTCGTTTTGTGAGATTGAGCGCAATGGAGTGGTGCTGAGCTGCTAAAGGCCAAAACCGTTCTGGAAGACCGGCTTGCTCCAAGTTCGAGCGCGTACCCTCTAGTACGGTGCGGATTTCCCGTTCGATGACGGCCTTAGTTTCATCCACGTACTCTCTAGAGGTGTTGTGCCTACATCGGAGTTCCTTCACAGCTGCTCCTAACTCCGGCGCGTTGTCAGAGTAAATAACCCCAACTTCGTCTTGCGTACCGAAAAAGTGCAGAAGGTCCTCATGCACTTGTTCCGATGATTTTGTTGCGCTAGGATACACATACCTAAATTGCGAAAACACATCTTTGATAACAAGCGCCACCCTCTCATCCTGAAATCCAAAGTCCCTCAGATCTCTTGTCACGAGATGGTCAATGGTAACATGATCCCCATACTTTTCACTGTGTATGGTCGAAGACCCCCCCTTTCTTCGAGCTTGGGGAGATAGCATCTTCGCCTTTTGACACACTTTGCAGAATGGGTTCTTAGGACGATGGCAGAATTGATGATGGATGCTTTCGGCCTCGGCGCGAAGCCGGGCTTCTTGCGAGATTTCCTTTCCCTCATCTTCTTCCTTGTCACTATCGGGCTCGATTAAGGGGTCGTCCTCGGGTCTTTTGAAAGCAGTAATCGACAGAATTGGCGATCCATCAATCTTTTGATTTTTAACCCTTAGACTTCTGATGTCAACAGAATCCTCAATCTTGCTCCAAGCAGAGTCCTTGTAGATCCAAGTGGTCCTTAGCACGAACCTTGGATGACGAGGTGCAGGTACTCGCAAAGCCTTTGGCCGATGACCAATAATGATCTTTGATGCGGCAATTTCACTGCTAGTGATCCAACCTGGCTTGGCTAAATCTTTAGGCTTGATTGCAATTGGCGGTGCAGAATTGATTGCTTCTTCTATCTCGGAGTCGCTGTGGACGACTCTTTCATCCCCGGCCGGTCCTCTCGGACGGCTTTCTACTGGAAACCCGAAGACTCGTCCTCCGCAGGTGCCGCCAGTTCAACCTTGACTGTACCGGCGTTAAACACCTGAGTTCCAGCAGATTTCTGGGAATCATCAGCGCTTGCTGGGCTCGCTACCGAGTCATCATTTGAGATCACTGGGACTCTACCCTTCATCTTACACTTGATGACTTTACCATCGGGAGCTATAAAGTATGGAACCTTGCCCGCAGGCCAATGGAAGTCATATCCATCGTCCATGCATCTTCTCCCAACAGAACAAACCGGTGGCGTGCTTTCCAGTAGATAGCACTCAATGTTTTGCTTCAGTTCAGGCATCGGGATGTTGGTTGATTTGATTCCCTGAACTGGACCATTAGCTGTAATCAAGTTGACCGGCCTACTAGCGTTTTCGATGGGAGCCTCTGGGTAGTAGATAGAGTGATCGTGCCTACTGATCAGATCTTCTTCACTGCCAGTATCGGCGAGGAATTCTAGTCCCGCATTAAAGCTAGAGCATGCTGTTCTTTCCACACTAGAACACAGCTCGCACTTCAACACTGCAACTGGGATCTCACCCTCTTCGCAATCATCTGTGCACTCGTACTCACAGTGGCTTTCAATCCCATTGAGCATACAGGACATGATCCTGGCAAGCTCGTTCGCTGTTCTTATGGCCGTGCTTAGGTCCTGAACTGGAGGCTTTGGGCAGCTTTCAGCATCCAAATAACAAACTTCGAAAGTTCGCGGTTTGGTCCTATGCTTCTTACCCTTACCATCCAATGGAATCTCCCGAATGCTTGGCTTCTCCTTGAACCTTAATTTCTTGAACGTTCCTGAAGCATCACCCTTAACGCCTTGCCCATTGGGCACAGCTGCCAGCGCATACGAAATGCAACAAGCTGCCGTGCGTCCGCCAGACTTTTCCTTGCTCTTGGACCTGCCCCTTTGTTTCTTTTCCTTCTTTGCTTTAGGATCCGGGGTCGGACTCCTAGGCTTTTCATCGTTCTTCGCAGGGGCGGCCTGCTCAGTAGGAGCGGCGTCAGTTGGATTGGGCTTATCTTGATGCAGGAACCTACAGTCTTTGCCTTTGTTGCACTTGCCTTTCTGCCAAAAGGTGCAAATCGCGTTGATCTTCTTTTGAGGCGTTCGATGAGGACTTGGGGATCTTGACTTTGGTTTGTGGAGAAACTTACACTTGTCGCCTCTTGTGCATTTTCCTTTCTGGAAGTCGTAACAAACCTGTTGTGTTTTGGGACTCTGAGATCTAGGCGGTGTTCGTTGGCTCGATCCTTTGCTGCTTGTTCTGGATTTTGAGCTACTTCGGGACATGCTTCTTCCACGGCCTCCTCGTGAAGAGGGGCGACGTTCAGATCCGTACGCTGGGGCCCCGTATCTATCGCCATGCGACTTAGCGATGCGGTCACGGTTCTTACGCATCCGTTCTCTAGTTAGATGCTCCCTAATGGCATTGACAAGGAATTCATACGTGTGTACGGGGTTTCCTTCCTTTGCCCTGTCGTACAGCTGAAGATCGTACTTGATGTGGTGGGATTTCCGAATTTCCCTCAGCAAAATGTCCCTCAAGGTAACTTCATCCGGAACATGACTCATTCCAGCAATCACCGACTCGAAGTTGTAAAGGAAGGTAGCCAAGTCGTCCCCAACCAACTTCACTTTTAAAAGGTCTTCTACGCTATAGAGGCTTCCGACTTCTTCATTAGTCTTAAAGTGTTGATGAAACATCCACAATACTTGTCGTCCCCTGACGGCACGTCCTCCTGTGGCCTCTGTTTCTTTGAAGTTTAGGACTTGCCTTGAAATCTCTCCTCTAGCGACTCTGGTAAGTGCAGCCAACAACTTCGTGTCCAATGTTAAGAATTTCCCAGTGTCATGCAAGGACTTGAGGGTAGCCTCTTTATCATATACTTCCTGCACCCAGCGAAATGCCTCATCCGGACGATCGCTCGCAGCCCGCACAATCTCGCGGACCGAGATCCGCCATGATCGGTAGGTCTCTGGATTAGGGTAATCGGGAAGCTTGATACTTTCGGCTTCTTTCACCTTTGGTTTGCCCTCTTCATCTTCGGTCTTAGGGGTAAGCAAGCGTGCTGCCCTAATCAATGCCTCAGCTCCGAAATCAACATGTGGAACCCCGTCTGGGTCAACAGTCGCCGGCTTACCCGCTTGGGCAGCTTTAGGAGACTTTTCCTTTTGTGGCTCTCTGTTCTCAAACCCAGGTGGTACAGAAGTTCCTTGCGGAGGTTCCTGAGCTTGCGGCGTTCTTCCGAAGATGTCCTTCATGTTCTCGGGAATCTCAAATGGATTTGAGAATGGGACAGCAGGATTAGGTCCTGGCTTCGGCGTGGCATATTGTTTGCCCGCTTCGTCCGCATTGGCTTCCATTCTTAGGGCTCGTTCTGCGGCAGCCAGTTCATCCTGCAGTCTGTCGTTTTGTGCACTCATTTCAGCGATTTCAGTAATGAAACGCCGTTCCATACTCGCTTCGGTTTCTTCAAGAACTTGTTTGAATCGCATTCCAAGAAAATCAAGATGTTGTGCTTTGTTGCGTTCGCTCTCAGCAATCAGAGTAGTTCTGAGCTTGGCGATTTCCGACTGATGTCGTTGTTGGAAAATTGATTCCAGAATGTTCATTTCATTCCTGCATGTTGCAACTTCGTTCAACAAAAACTTTTCCCTTTGGGATGCGTTGAACTCAAATTCCGCAAACTGTGCTTCGCATTCTGCCATCTTCACCTCATGAAGGCGCTCGGCCTGTTCAGCCATGCCAGCCATTCTCACAAGATTATCATGCGATTGTTGGTTCAGAATGCTTGCGTGTCTTCTTTCAGCATCTGCCTCCGTTCGCTCTATTGCCATTCTTTGTTGTTCGGCTGTCTCACCCTGGTTCACAACATTGTACAAGGTATACTGTACGTTTGAGATGTCGACCGTTGGATTTGAGACAAATGGAGATAGGGTAGGACCCACTGGACCGAAGATCCTATCAAGTGCTTGGGATCCTGAGCTCGGTGCCGTAGGGCCCGCGCCAGCTGCTGTAAGTTGTTCATCAAGCAGTCGATCTCTTGTTTCGTCGTCCATCTCGTCCGATGATACTTCGGTTGTTTCTCCCTTCTCAGTAGTGAGCAGAGAGGGCGAAGTACTCATGTACCAGTGTGAATACCAGTGTAAGAATACCACGGAGACAAAGTCAGCGAATACGGCTGATAACCTATAGAATACACCAAAACCGTTAAGCCATGAGCGGTCGCGCTAACCTTTTACTCAGAGGGCTTGAGCATGATAGTCACGTCATAGTATACACAACATGATGACTGTACACGACCATACAAACTCCTACGCAAGCTGCGATGCAAAACTACAGTAATCTTCCTGGGTCTTCGACTTTGAGATCCGCAAAACAAACAATCTTATCGAACCCCTCCCCAGAGAGCTCAATGCCCCTTGATTAAGGAATATACCTTAAATCATAGGGGGATTCGTAATATCATGATTTACGCAATAATATTCCTTAACTAATAAGGAGTATTGGGCTCTCCGGGTCCTTCTAAGCACTACTCGCACCAGATCGACACTCAAAATCCTAAATCCTGAAATCCCTCAACCCTTCTTACATCCTAAACCCTAAACCTTAGACTCTCAACCCTTCTTAAATCCTAGGCCCTAAACCCTTCTCAAATCCTCAGCCCTACGCCCTAAACCTTACACCCTCAACCCTAAATACAAAACCCTGAACCTTAGACCCCTAAACCCTTCTTAAATCCTAAGCCCTATAATTCCTAAACCCTAAACCTTAGACCCTCAACCCTAAACCCCTTCTTAAATCCTAAACCCTAAGCCCCGAACCTTGGACCCTCATGCCCGTTCTGCTAAGGACCTCGTCGCAAGAGAGCCGCAAGTCTCCGAGACGCTTGTGGAAACCTCGGGTGGGGATTAGGGTTCCTTGCAAGGGATCTATAAGTGTCCTGTAAAGGGATGTACAGGGTGTGGGGGCTCAGGGTTTGAGGGTTTTGGGGTTTAGGGGTTTGGGGTTTAATTGGGCGTTAGGGTTAGGGGTTTATAGTGAAACACGAACATTGGAACATGGATTTAGGATGATTAGGGCCTGCGATGCCCCTATAACTTACCTGAAGCGGAGGAGATTGATCTTCCAACTTTCTGGCTTCTACTCCAGGGTTTGGGGCTTGGGGTTCACCACCTCCCGTTCGATCATTCTGCAGTCGAGCTCGCTACCCTTTGGATCCCATGGCAGTAAAGAACACATCACATTTTCTTTTATCCCCCTAATCTTCGGGGGTGGGGAGCTGGAATATGAAACCTTCAACTACGGACTTACCCTACCCTAGAATGCATCCGCAGGACTCTTAATTGAAACAGATATGCTTCGGCACCTTCCTACCCCACTCCACATCCATGCAAAACCCAGCCAGTTCTTCAAACTTTGCTCTCTTGACATGCACAGAACTCCCAAACCCTTAGAACCATTGTTTGGGCACGAGCGCCTTTCGCAGGGTGAGGTGAACCCCGAGTGTTGCCGCGATGTCTGACTGGTGATCCCTCAATGACAGCTACCAAAACTGTAAATGAAACCTGATATTGAAATTCCTTTGTGTGCCCCCCCAATGTTTCATGTCTAAGGGTGGTGGGAATGTCTTGTTCTCTAGTCAGCCATAAGCTTCTAAACCCTAACCCCAAAGGCTCTATTCTGACGCTACACCCTGAAAGCTAAAAACCCGAAACCCTAAACCTCTAAACCTTGAGCCCTAAAGCAACCCTGAACCCATAAACCTTGAACCCTACAGAAACCCTGAAACCCTAAACCTTGAACCCGAAAGAAACCCTGAACCCATAAGGGAGTTTCCGAAAATAGGGGACCCTAATATGGTACCCGAAATAATAGGATCCTTATTATAAGGACCCCAAAATGAGGTACCCCTAATTTTCGGAAACTCCCATAATGATCTCTTCAACCAAAAGGCGCTGGCGAACACGCCTTCGCTTTGGTCGGTCAGGTGCTTTGGCCAGCGCCTCCTTTGCCTTCCAAAGGAGCTTTGCAGTTTCCCAGAGAGCCCAATACCCCTTAATTCAGGAAGAAAGCTTAAATCATAATATGAATCCCCTTACAGTTTAAGGTATACCCCTTAATTAAGGAATATAGCTTAACTCATAATCTGAATTCCCTTATAACTTAAGGTATATTCCTTAATTAAGGGGTATTGGGCTCTCTGGGTTCGGGTGGAGCATGAATACAGGGTCCCGGGGGTTAGGGCTCCACACTCACAAGGGGCTCAGCATCATGATGCTATAAGCCTAGTAATTAATTAGTCGAGTAGGTAGCCTTTAACCTTTTTCTGGGTAGTATAGTCCCCAGAAAGTCCCGAAATAACCAAAAAGGTTATCCTTTAGTTCCCCATGATACCCGACAAGGAGGTAAGATATATTCCTTCAATGAGAGCCCAATGCCTCTCGACAAGTGAAGCAAGCGGCTTTCACACGCTTGCTTCATGGGGCTGTATTACAAGGCTAATTGCAAGGAGTAGTTCGTTTCATATGGTTGTTTGATCGGGCTTTCTGAGAGTCTAGAACCGTTCTACCGGTACGAGGTTTGAGACACCTAACACCACTGAGTCATAATCCTAGCAGATAAGTCCACACAGTGCAGACCCTCTAGTTCTTGAATTGAAGTGCCTAGTGAAAGTCGACATGGGCCAAAAACCACATTTGCAGCCGACAAGCGTCGAAGCAGCCCAAGTCATCGAAACGGCCAAAGTTACCACCAAACCCGATGGCACCACTGTGCCATTATCAGACTTCAAAAAGCTCCACGAGCCTTTATAGATCTCAGAGGCTTAAGCCTAAAACCCTACTCCGCTAAACCTTAAACTCCAAAACCTTGACGCCCTAAACTGCTCTAAGCCCTAAACTTTATACCACTACACCCACCCCTGCTAAACCCTGAACCCTTACAACCCTAATTAAACCCTAAACCCTCCACCCCGGGCACCTTTCGGAGGAGTTCTTCGACGGAGGTCACGGTCTCTAAAGACCGGGTCTCGACGGCCAACATGCCTTTTACGATTCGGGTTCCTTGAAGGTTAAGGGAACTGTCAGGGCACACCTACAGGGTTTAAGTTGGGTACTGCCTCCACACAGAAGCGGTCTTTAAGAGTGCTACACTTAAGGGATATATATATATATATACATGTGAGAACCATATCAATATCATTCAACTGTTACGGAATGGGAGTTGTATCCAAGGCTGCGTTTAACGTGCTGAAAAAAGGTTAGTGGAAGACCATACTAGGCGTTGTCAAGTTGGTTCTGTAAGGGCTGGCCAACAGTTCCTGGAAGTATTGTTGTAAGGGTCCTGCTCAAGCTTTAGGGACTTAGTCACATGTGCGGCTTCGATTCCGCATGCCTGTACACTTTGAGGAGGGATGCCATGCATGTACACTTGACATGTCGCATGTGCCTATGTGGCTTACTGTAGGCTGTGCAAATCGGTTGGGCTCGCACTGCCACCGTCTTCAGCCTGCACTGACCGGCACCGTGGCTCGCTACGAGGAGCGGATGGAGTACTCCCACCAGCACGTTGATGCATGAGGATGATATGGCTCCAGATAGTTCGTGCATGTTCACGACCCGTCCGTCCTTTGGATCTTGTGCTTGGGGTCTTCTGGGTTTTTTCACGGGCAATGCAGACAGATGTGCCGGTTCAAGGTCTTCTGGGTTAAAGTTTAGGGTCTACAGGGCAGAAAACCGCTGACCAAAACTGTGGGTGATTTGAGGTGTTTTGTTTTCTGTGAGGGTGGGTGGTAGAGGGGGTACTGTAATATAGGGGACTTAATTATTAGAATTGGGTTTTGGGCCCCTGTATGCTATAACTCTAATAAGGAACCCCCAGAATAGTATAGGTAATTCTTTAGGCCCCTATATTAACTAGGGATGATAACTTGAGGTTTGAGGTTCCGGGGATTTCAGATCAAAACGCAAAACCCTGACTCCAAGCTCTGAGAGCCCTAAGCCCTGATTGATGCCCCAAAGAATCAAACACCGAAGCCCTGACCCTAAAACTTTGAAACCTAAAACCCTAAACCCTAAACCCTAAGCCCTAAACCCTAAACCCTAAACCCTACTAAAACCTTGAACCCTAAGCCTGCCCTAAAACACGCTAGGTTTGGGGTTTAGGGTTCCCGACCCTGAACCCTAAACCCCTAAACCCTAAAATCTCCTAAACAAGAAACCCAGAGACTCCAATATCCCTTAATTACGGAATATTCCTTAAATTATAGTAGGATCCCTAATATGATTTAAGGAATATTCCTTAATTAAGGGATATTGGAGTCTCTGGGAACCCCAGCCCCGAACAAGGAACGCTCGTCACTTGTGATGCGCCCCGTAAGAGCGCTTCGAGACTGCCCCGTTACCCTGATGCTCCTGGACCCTCGTAGTGAGATCCTAAACCTTAGCCCCCAAAGCCCAAACCCTCGCCCACAAAGCCCCTAAGCCTATTTAGGAGCCTTAAAATACCCGCAAAACAAACGTATACTTCAACCTTATGTAATAGTTTGAGGGATGTACATCAGACTCTGTACATTCTGTATGTACGACTCTCATGAACACAGGTCTCAACCAGCTTTTGGCGGGTGGCTTGTCACTCGCCGTGAACAGTATAGGCTCTGATTCCATAATGGTTCCTTTAAGCAATACGTCCGAGACAAGTATCCAAGTATTTTAACTATTCCAGAAGACAGTGCATGCTCCCTTGTAGTGCCGTTGCGGAACCATTAATTATGGGGGCCCCAGTCAATGTCCCTGCCTGGCTGTCCCGTATTCGCTCCGCCGTTCCCAGACATCACGTCAGGCGTCGGACAAAAGGAGAGCTCCCAGTCCACTCCCTAAGGCTCCATGTCATGGGCCTATATCGTATATACTGAGGCCTTACAGGGGGTCCCTATACTTTAAGGCTTGAGTATAGACTACATACGTGCATGGAGCCTTGGGGACTGGGATTTTCTGGTGGTGCTCAGAATAACGGGAAGAAGAGCGGAAGATCTAAACCCAAAATGACGGCTTTCACGGATTTGGGACTGGGGTTTCGGGGCTTGGCCAGTCATGACCTCGGCTCCAATGGCTAAGGGCCGAGGTATTGGGGTTTAACTTCAAGGATCGATGTGACTTGGCCAACTTCGAAGAGAAGATTTCCGATCTCTTAAAGCAAAACTTGTGCACCTCCGCTGGGGTCCCAACTATCGACGAGTGGAACTTCGAGAGTTCTGAAGTAAAAGTGCTCTGAACCAGCCCAGGACCCAGCCAGGACTGTGAACCCTGCTATAATACTACTACAATACTACTATAATACTACTATGACTATAGCACTATTTACTACTATACTACTATACTACTTTAATACTATAGTACTACTCTAATACTATAATGCTCCGAAGCCCTGCGTAGCCCCAAGGCTTATGGTGGTCGCTGGGGGGTCGAGGCTGGAGCCACGTCACGGGCACGGGCGGTGTTTGTGTGGCCGAAACGAAACATCCTGCTTGACTTCGTGTCAATCTTAGGGTTTAGGGTTTTAGGGTTTAGGGTTTTAGGGTTTTAGGGCTTTAGGGCTTTAGGGATTTAGGGTTTTAGGGTTTTAGGGTTTTAGGGTTCTAGGGTTTAGGGTTTTAGGGTTTTAGGGCTTTAGGGCTTTAGGGTTTTAAGGTTTTAGGGTTTAGGGTTTTAGAGTTTTAGGGTTTTTAGGGTTTTAGGGTTCTAGGGTTTAGGGTTTTAGGGTTTTAGGGCTTTAGGGCTTTAGGGTTTTAAGGTTTTAGGGTTTTAGGGTTTAGAGTTTTTGGGTTTAGGGTTGTTTGGTTTTAGGGTTCTAAGGTTTTAGGGTTTTAGGGTTTAGGGTTTTAGGGTTTAGGGTATCTCTATCTGGGCGGTTGTGAATATTAGGGTCCCTTTGAATTGTGGGTCCTTATTATAATACGGCTCCGAATATTTAGGGTACCCAAAAAGGGGCCATAATTTTGACAACTACCCAAATCTGAACTCGGAAGCAGTCTATGGGTCGTGATGACAGCAACAGGGTTTTGAGGCATACTCTACTAAGGCTATATAAGGACAATGGAGGGATGTTGGTGCTAATGATTCAGGCCCTACATGCTGGCCGCTGGCAGTTCTCCTTGGTTTCAGCATCGAGACGCTGATCTACTAATTCGGCGAGGGCTTGGGGCGCATACCATACCATAACATTAATATAAAGTGTTGATTATACCATGTATGGATCATAGAGATATCAGGAAACTGCAGGGGGGAAATGATTTGTAATGATTCCACCCATGCCTAAACCCCAAACCCTAAACCCCCAAAAGCCCTGAACCCCGAAACCCTAGACCCTAAACCCCAAAAGACTCTTAACCCCAAGCCCTAGACCCTAAAGTAAACCCCAAGAGACCCTTATCCCTGCTTAGCTTGTCCGGTATCATGGGGAACTAAAGGTTAACCTTTTTGGTTATACAGGGATTATATAGGGACTGAAATACCCCAAAACACTTAAAGGTTACCTCCTCGACTAATTACTAGGCTTCTCACGTCCTAAACCCTAAACCTTAGACCCTCAACCCTTCTTAAATCTAAAAGACCCTTATCCCCGAACCCTAAACCCCCCCAAAAATCCCGAAAACTCCGGACACCTGGGCCCGGCGCACGCGCGTCAGGCCGGCCAAGGTGCCGCTCAGCTCGTTGCGATGAAGCACTCCGAAGTCTGCCATCCTATGAAGGAACCCAGAGAGCCCACGGTTTAGGGTTTAGGGTTTAGGGTCCAATACCCCTTATTTTTTTTACTAAATTTACTACGGTCCCGGCGTCACTGTTGCAATGAATGTTCATAAACACTGATTTTACACTTCTTTGATTCCTATAGAAGGCTTTCACACTGAGTTACTTCACACAGAGAGAACTTCACACTGAGCTTCACACTGAGCTTCTTCACATAGAGACTTCACATCGAGCTGCTTCACAACGATTTGTTTATAATAGCTGAGACCAACCAACACACTTGCGACGTTCAATAGATGTATGATCACTGGAAAGGTGGTTGGTATCTTCTGGCATGATCAATAATCGTCTCTCGTATTGCTCGGTCGTGTTTATTGAAAGGCACCTTCGGAACCGAGACATCTTTTGATGTGATTATGTTCCAAGCTTTTTCCATATTCGTGGTAGTCCAAAACTGTCTTGGACGGCCTACTCTCCGTTGTTCTGTTTCTCTTGGCACAGCAGACTGCGTTTTGAAAGCGGCTTGATGCAACGGATGTTGGCGGTCCCGACGTAACACATGTCCTAACAGCTTTAGTCTCCGTTCTCCGAGAACTTCTGTGAGGGGCTTGATTTTTCGGTGTATGCCCGCGCTTGGGGCATTCGTGACTTCGTTAGCTCTTTTGTACACGTGCTCGTTTGTGTTGCTGCGATTAATAAACGTAGTGTGCAACTGAAGAATTTTTCGCAATCCTTTCAGCTGAAAAGTATTGAGCAATTTTCCCGCTGATTCTGTGGGTTCCAATGTCTCCAACCCATAAAGAAGTTTGCTTGTAATGACGGCGTTGTAGACCAACAACTCCCATTTCTTGTTACATTTCGTTGTAAGCCAAAAGATGTCCAGCTTTTTTAAGATGACCATTGTAGCAGAGATTCGTCTACGGATTTCCTGACTGGGGTCAACTCGTTTTGAGACCGATGCTCCCAAATAAGTCGTCTCTTGCACACACTTCATTCTTTCCCCACTCTTGAAGCGTATATTGCCTCTGGCATTATATGCAAGAAAACAACATTTCGATTGATTTAGTTTCAAATGCAGGTAATCGGACTCTTCTTCAATTAAATGTAAGTAGTCATTGGCAGTCTTTTGGCTTTTTGCAACGATTAATGTATCATCCGAGTACAACAACTCTTGAAAATTGATGCCCTGGAACGTTTTTCTGCGATTCGTGTCATTAAAGCTGTCCTTTACATCAGAAAACATGACATGCATCGTTAGAATGAACAGAAAAGGGCTGAGGGGACAGCCTTGTCTGATTCCTGTACGCTGTGTGAAACGGCTACTTGTATGTGAATTATGATTGACCTGGAACATGGGCATGCGGTAGAGAGCTTTGATAGCGTCTAACATGTCATTGGGAATGTTCAATCTAGCAAGCGACGTGAACATCTTCTCATGATCAATCTTATCAAAGGCCTTTTCCCAGTCTAAAAATACCAATACCCCTTAACTAAGGAATATAGCTTAAATCATAGTATGAATCCCCATATAACTTAAGGTATATTCCTTAATTAAGCGGTATTGGGCTCTCTGGGAAGTGCAGTAGGTTAAGGCAATCCCTGCCCATAGGCTCCATAGTAGCTCCTTTCTGGGAGTACCTCGTAGGATTCTAAATATGAACCCCAAAAAGGATTTAAAGTTTAAGGGCTTCTTTAAGAGATCGTTTAAGGAATCCTTTAAGTGTTTCCTCATAGAGGGCTTCCGGGCTCTAGGGCCTATAGGGTTTTATAGAATCCAAAGAACAGGTAGGAGACCTCAAGAATCCAAAGTTCCAGGATAAACGAATTGTACACTTCTCGATTTGTGCAGTGCCGGGTAGAAGGTTCCAAGGAGGGAGCTTTGCCAGGCTCAGAAGCCCTGGCCCATCAACCCTCAAAGGTCACCCCTCTTTTCCGCTACACAGCCACGAAAGTACGTATGGATAACACCTGAGCTGTACAGCTACTCAGACTATGTGAAATCCTTAAATTCTAAGCTGTGACAAGTGCTGACCCAAGGCATACATTCCGAAGCCTAGCCTAGGGCCAAAAGCAACAGCAAGACATGAAGAAACTCAGGGTGGAAGGAGTGACTTTCTACACTCCTCCTTGTGACCTTCTCGCGCGAGGAGGCTCACACTCTTCCTTGAAGGTCACTTTCCACCCTTGTCTACAGGAGAAATCACGGCCTTTACCAAAACAACCCCTAACCACGAACGAACGAGGAACGTGTGCCGTCAGGCAAGTGCACACGGGTCTTAGGGGGGTCTCGGGACTAAACCTTCTAAAAACCCTAGGGGCGAAGGTTCGCCCTTGCAAGGCACTGCCGGCAGAAGGTGCGCTCCTGCCTGTACCCCGGTGTTCCGAGGGTCCCGCAGTCGTTGAAGAGGTGGACAACTCCGCCTCTTTGCATGGTAGTCATCACCGCTCCCGGGTTGACACCTGTGGGTGGCATCAACACTTGGTGTTGAGCATCGGGGTCCGTCTGGACTCCTTGGCTCCGCCTCGTGATCCTGCCTCCATCTAAAACCTCAGTCTGAGAAAAACTCGAGACCTGCAGCAGGGTCGTGGTCGTAGTAGATGAAGTCGCGGTAGAGTGCCCTTGGGCGCTCGGAGGCTGGGAGGTTGGTCTCCCCCTTCGCTTGGTCGGCTGATCTGAGGAGGACGGGGTAGACGAAGTCACCTCCTTGTCGAGGGCTTCTCGCACGGCCTTTTCAAGACGGTCTTTCTTCCTCAGAGCCCGGATGGAGGGCGACGGGGGTCCTCGGCAGGACCTGCTTGCAACCTTAATCCCTTCCCAAAGGCCTACTATGGCTATGATCACAACAACCAGGGCCACATAGAGCGAGAGGTCGCTCGTCACACCTTGGAAATCCTCCTCCTCCTCACCTTGGCCTGAGCCTGGCATGACCTGTGCAAAGGCAGTGAGCGCTGTGAGCCACTTGCTCAAGGCTCCTCCGCATCCAGACAACACCTCAACCTTCCCAACAGAAGGAGGCTCAGCTTCATCACTCAAGCCTACAAGGAGGGACAGCTCGTGAAGCCTAGGCCCTGCAAGGGGCTTCGT